CTGTTCAGTATCATAATGGAAGGCCTAACCAGTTAAGTAAGGAAAGAACGTTAATAAAAGTCTTACATATTAGAGAGAAAGAAATAAAACTGTTTTTAGAGAACATGATTGTTTATATAAAAGTCCCAAATAACCTACATATGAACTGCTTTTAGGTTAAAATAAATTTGGGAAGATGGCTAGATGCAGGGCAAATCTACAAGTCAATCATATTTCCATATATTAACAATAAACAACTATAATTTGAAATTTTAAAAACAGATTTTTTTTTTTTTTTGTCTTTTTGAAACAGAATTTCACTATGCAGTTCAGGCTGGCCTTGAACTCACTTGGTTGCCCAGGCTGGCCTCAATCTTGCAGTGATCCTCCTGCCTCAGCCTTAAAAGTAGATTTATAATTGCATCCCCCCTTGTTCTTAAGCATAAATAAAACAAAATATGTGTAGGATCTTCATGTTGTAAAGTATAAGATACTGATGAAAAAATATTCATGAAGTTATAAATAAATGGAGAGAGATACTCTTCACAGTTTGGAAAGATCAATATTACAAAGATACTAACTTGCCCCAATTTTATCTATAGATTCAATGCATTTATAATCTTAATCACAACAGACTTCTTTTTTGGGGGTAAATTCAACAAGCTCATTCTAAAATTTATTCACTTATTTTTTTGAAGGGTCTTTCTATGTAGTCCAGACTGGCCACAAACTTGCAGTGATCCTCCTGCCTTAGCCTCCTAAGTGCTATGGTTACAGTCTAAAATTTATATAGAAAAGGAAAACTGAAAGGAACTATAAAAACAGTTGGAGTAATTATATAACCCTATTTCAAGGTTTCTACTACTCAGTTCAAAAGGATGAACACAAAGATCAGAGAGTCCAGAAATATTAAATGAATACAAACATTGTCAACTGATTTTTTAACAAAGGTACAAAGGCTTCAATGGAGAAAGAATTATCTTTTCAACAAATGAGGTTGAGACACCTGGACATTCATACGCAAAAGAAAGGTTTGCGTGGAAAAAGTAAAACATGGAGAGGAGTCACTCATGCTTCACATGTGTGAGGCCCTGGGTTCAATCCCCAGCACTAACAAAGAAAGAAGAAAAAGGAACGAATAGGATTTTTTTCACTTATAAATGAAGTATAAGCAAAATTGATGGATGGGGATAGAAATCAAAACAGTGAAAAAGAAGTAGACCTCTCTGGGGGGCACCCTGTGTCTCAGATCTTCTCCATCTCCTGTAAATTGGGAGTCCAGCTATAGATTCTGGGTGGCAGGGCATGCAGTCATCCTGTGTCTGCTGGGGTGGTAACAGGAGTGTGTCACAATTCTTTAGCCTCTGTGGTGGATTGACAGTGGTGGTCAACTTATAATACCCTGCTAAACTGAGTAAATGTGATGCTAGGAGTGGGAGGCCCTCCTGAGGATTGTTGCCAGCAGCATACCAGGCAGAACTGGAGGAGAAGAAGAAAGGCTGTTGGGAGCTGCTAGCGGCTGTAAGGGGTTGTTGGTTCTGTTGGAGGAGCTTGTCATGCTGGCTTTCCTGATGAACTTGGCTGTTTTCATCCTCTGAGCAGCTCAGGACCTTGTCAGCACTGAGAATAGCTTCAGTTCACTTTGGGGGAGTTCTGGTCCTCACACTCAGCATTGCTTCCAGACTCCAGAGGGGAAGATGGTGTACTACTCAGTCTCCTGGAGAAGCTTGTCGAGTTCGCTTTCCTGATGGGAACTCGGCTTTCCTGATCATTGGCGGAGCTCGGCACCTCACTGTTGCTGAAAATAGCTGTGGCACCTTTTGGGGGAGTTGTGGTTCTTACTTTGTGCGTCATTTTCTGGCTCCAGTGTAGATCCCTCAGCCTGCTAGCACAGATCCTTCATCCCACTGGCACAGACTTTCTAGCTTCCACCACTGACCTTTGGGCCTTCCCAGCGTGGATCCGTGAAACAGGTCTGCATGAGGTATTGTTATGGGCTCTGGGCCTCCAGTTGGATTTGTGGGAGGCATTGTTATGAGCTCTAGGTCTTCAGCTGGACTCATGCAGGACATTATCATGGGATCCAGGCCCTCAACTGGATTCTTTGGTCTCTAGTGTGTGGCAAGATTTCTTGCACTCTCTTATATATGATTCTTTGGGTGACTATTATAGATAATCTTATAAATATGTGTCCTGTATTATATTGTTTCTCCTTGCAAAAACCCCAAACCAACACAGCCTCTAAATCAAAGATTAATACACTTTCCCTATTTTGCTGCATTGGGAAAAAATTTTTAGTGGTTTCCTATTGCTTTTAGGTTAAAGTCCAAAATCCTGGCTAGACAGTAGTTTCTAAGTGCGAATGATCTGTTTCCTGCCTACTTCTCCAGTTTCATCTCTCTACTCTCAAACTTCTGTCACAGGGCCTTTGCACACCCCACCCACTCCTCCAGCAGGGCTCTCTCCTCACACACCTTCGCTCTGCTAACCCTTCATTATCTTCAGGGTGCCTCTCACATTTCCTCTGACATTTCTTGATCTCCAGGCCTCAGTTAGGTCTCTGATTACATGTTGTGCCTCTTAGATCACAGTAATCATTTTCCAAGCACAAGAAAGTTATGAATCAGCTCTGTCTTGTTTGCTCTTTTATCTTAAGATGCCTGGTAATAGTAGCTACTCATTTAATATTTTTTCCAAATATTAATTTTGAAAGTGAATTTAGATTAACTTAACAAAACAAGACAAAATAAGACCATAAAACAAGAGCTGGAATGTGAGCCCATCAGCACACCCTTCTCACTCTGCCTCCAAGGTACAGCCCTGAATCATTCACCTTTCCTCACATCCTTGCTGCAAAGCCTTCTCCCCGAGCTCCCTGCTCCCCTCATCCATTAATCACTGGGTTATTGCGAAACAGTAACATATGGCTGCTTTCTTAGCATAATAAAATCACTGTGCCTGTCTCACGCCCTGCTTGAGGAGCAAATATTAAAGGTATTGGCATGAAAATCAGGAACAAGACGCAAGTGTCTATTACAATTTAATGTTGTTCTGAATGTCCTCGGCAATGCCTTTATGTAAGATTCAAACTATTAGAAATGTAAAAATTAGACAGAGAGATTTCACATTACTTATAGATGATAATCTCAGACATTTAAATAAATAGTTAAAAAAACTATTGCAAATGAGAGAATTTGGTGGATGCCTGGGTTAAAAAAAATTAAAAGAGGTGACCTCACTTCCTTAGCACAAAGATAAACACCTACGAATGGACTTAAGAGATGCTCAAGATCTACACTAGGAAAACACTAAAATGCTACTGCAGCACAAATAGAAAGCTATCAGCAAACAAAGAAGGCAAACTGTGTTCTTCACAGAAAGAGCCCATACCAGGAAGATGTCAAATGCCTGAATTAATCTATACATTTAGTGCAATCTCAATGCAAATACCAAGAAGACTTTGTTTGCTACTAATACAGTACAGGTAGCTAGAATCCTAAATTTGAACATTGTCACATAGAGCTGTGCCTTAGAACCTTTTCTTCAGATATTTCTTCTCTTTTTATTTTGTTGGGAAATGTATAATTTTTTTTTTTTTGGGTCTAAGGGCATTGGAACAATTATGAAGGATTCACGTCTGGCTCTAGCACATTTAGGACGCCAAGGATGTGTCTGTGTAAAGATGTAGCTCACCATCGTTGACTGCACAAAAGGAGGCCGGATCCCATACTTTCACAGTAACCTTAAGTAACCTGTCACGTGCCCCAGATGACTCCTGGGGTTCGTGTTTGGCTGCTACACCATCTTGATGAAGGCCAGCAACAGAGCTCCTAACACTAGATCCACAGCAGTGACCTTTTATGGAAGGAGCAGTCAGCTGGCAGCCGCTCTCCTAGCAATCCTTCAAACTAGGATCGCCTCCGCCAAGCAGTGTGTATAACTATTGGGTAGTGGGGCAAACAGTTTTAATAAGAGTGCTAGAGAAAGGGTTTTTTTTTTTCCTAGTACTAGAGATTGAACCTGAAGCCTTTGCACTGATCTATACTCTCAGCCATCTCCTCACCCCGTTTTTGAGACAAGGTCTTGCTATGTAGTTCAGGCTGAGCCTGAACTCATGACCCTCCTGCCTCATCTTCCTGAGGGTTGGGATTACCACTGTGTACCACCACACCCAGCCCCTGCATTCAGGCGCACTGTGACTCACCAAGTCACTGAGTTGCTCAGGCCTGGCTCAACCTTGTGATCCTCCTGCCTCAGCCTCCCAGAGGGCTGAGATTACAGTTTTGCACCACCATGGCCAATGCTAGAGAGGTTTTAAAGATCTTTTTGAGAAAAGAGAAAATGAGATAAAAATAGATCGATCATCACAGGGTGCTCCCTCTGAGCTAAAAGGAGGCCACCTAGATGTCAGTTCAGCTACAAAGCATGAACTTGACCTGTTTCTGGTGCACATCTTTCAATTTAGCCAACCCTGGAGAGCATGTTTCACCTTGCATGGTGGCTGAAGTTTGGGGTGCAAGAGATCTGAGGGAGAAAGCTTCTACCATTCAGAGAGATTCTGGGGGCTGAGGGTGTGGCTTTCTCATCACATGTGTCCCCTGGGTTACACCCCCAGTATGGCAAAAACAAAAACAAAGACAGAAAGCCCCTGACCAAACAAAACCTGGAAGGTTATGGTTTATGAAGTTTTATTACCCCTTCAAACAGACCAACTAGGTACAGCTTTGCCATTTGCAACTGAACTGGGCAAGTTATTTACCCGCTCTTTGCCTCAGTTTCCTTATTTGTTAACTAAGAAAAGGATCTGCCTCATGGAGGTGTTGTGAAGATTAAAGACGTGACTATTATAAGGCGTGCAGAATATTTCCTACATTGTTAGCTACCTCTGGCTGATGTTGCAGTTAGCTGAGCTGCATCTCCAGGTCCCCAGAGAAATCCCTGTGTGGACTTGGACATCCTGACCTTTGCTTTGACATTGCCCTAAGGATCCTAGGTTGCTATATAAATCCCAAGAAAATCAGTTACCTGGGTCTCAATCTGCTCTTTATTTGCATGTGGTTACAATTTATAAATACACTTGTCATTTTCCTCCGTTCCCAAACTGTTCCCCATACCTGTAGCCCTACCCAAACCCTGAGTTCTGACTGACTCCATCTCCCCTCCTCCAGGAGGCGAGGGTCAGGAGGTTCTCCATATAACTTCATCTGCACCCAGGGTCCACCTCAGTCTGTGGCAAGTATGGACCCTCACAGGGCCTCCCAATCTTGGGACTGAGCACCATGAGTCCTCCAGAGATCCTGAAGAAGTCCTTGTAGGTGACCCACCGTGTGACCACTGAGCTCCCCTCAGTCCATGCTTGGGGTGCGGAATGCCGCGGCCGGCAGCAGTTAGTGTCACAGGCCCCATCTGTGCATGAGGCTGAGCGGATGCAGCTTCTGCGGGCAGTGGGTCTACACTGAGGTCGCAGGCTCGCCCAGGCAGGCGTGAGAGTCCTGTGGGGGCACTGTCCCCAACTGGGGCCCAGCCTGCTCTCTAGGAAGTATCTGAGGCCTGGTATATTGCAGCCGTGCCTACAGAGGTCTGCCCAGGCCCTGGTGAGTCCTGCGGGTGGGGCAGCCTTAGGAAAAAGGCCTCAGGTCCTCTTCTCCTTCTGTCTCTCAGACCACCGTCAGGCATGGGTGACGGATTGGCCCTGGGCCCTGTCAGAGGGCATGGAATCCCAGGGTCTCTGTCTCGGCCAGGTGCCATGCTTTGCCGTCTTCCTGGTAGGGCCTGGAAAGCTGTGAAGAGCCATGCACACCCTCTTCAGGAGTAGGGTACGGAGGCTCCGGAGGAGCCGGCGGGTCTCCAGGACCCCGTGTTCCCCCCAGTACTGGCCCATTGTAGATGTAGATGTTGCCGGTGACGGTCACAGAGCCCCCAGTGACATGAATGCCATTGGCACCTGTGGAGAGGAAGGTGGAATGAGAGGGGCTGAGTGAGCATTGGGAGGGAAGATCCCCAACAAGGGGTCGCACCACTGCTTCCAGCCCGCCTCTGGCTTCCCTCCCTGGCTCCCGGCTTCTGGAGCTCTGGGTGCGTTTCTGGGTTTCCAGACTTCCCATCTCTCTAGGTGAGTCGCTGGCTGGCTGTCAGGATCCTGTCCTCCCTGTCCTGGTGTTTTTGTTCCATCTGGCCGTACTTTCCCTCCTTCACACCGCCTTCCCCGCAGCCTGCCCGGACTCACCGTGGGCCACCTGGCCCTGCTCCCCCAGCTCAGCCTCTGGCTCTCTGGTCTGCATCAGGGGACACTGCTGTTGCAGCACCACTTCCTCCAAAAGTGGGGGTCCTGGGGTTCTGGCAGAGCTCGGGGACAAATCTCCAGAGATGGGCAGAAGTGGCTTTACCAAGTCAGGGACACCTGGGTTGGGCCTTGGAAGGGGGCAGGAGGGGGATTCCTCTCCCTGTGGAAGAGAGGCAGAGGACCAAGCACTGACGAAGGACCCAGACCTCATCTCACGTCACTCCTCACTTTGGTGACGCCTTCTGGCCCCTGCTCCTCACAGAGTCCCTGCCTCAGGCCCTTTGCATGATGCTTCTGCTTCCTGGAGTGTGCTTCCCAGTTCCCTGGCTGGCTCCCTCACTTCCTCAGCTCTGCTCAAATATCCGTGGATCAGAGCAGCCTTCCCTGCCCACTCTGTCTAAAACAACACACCCTCATCCTTTACCCTGATTCATAGCTAACTTCATTTTCACTGGTAGCACACAAGGTCCAGGTGGGCAGGTGCTTGGCTTTGCTCCCTTCAGTGCCCGGCCCCCAGCCTGTGCCTGGCACAGTGCCCGGTGCATGGCACGTTCAATAAACTACCAGTTTTGCTCTCTTCTATCTGCTCCCTACCCCTGATCACCTCCCTCACACGGATTCATTGTCAGACTCCCTGGTTACCTCTGGACGCCTCTTGAGCAGCGATCCTGCAATGAAAGTGAAACGGGAGAGACCTCAAAGCCCCAGCCTTCCACCCTCCAGGTGCCCCCCTGGGATGCCGCCCCACCCTGGGGTCCTGGGAGGAAAAGGCTGTTACCCTCCCTCATCTGCAGGCCTGGAGTGAGGGCTGGGGAGAGAGGGCTGAGTGCTGTAGCAGGGAAGTGGGGAGCATGGAGGGGATAGAAGGTCTGCCCTGGGTCAACTCCCCCTCTACTGCAAGCCCTGCTGGAGGACAGAGGGCTGGCTTCTTCCTACCGAGCTTTCTGCAGAGAGAGGGGTGGCTCTTCCAGGTGCAGGCGACGACAGTGGTGAGCAGCAGAAAGGAGACCAGAGGCAGCAAGATGGCCAGCACCAGCATCGTTCCTGCTGGACAGCAGACAGGATGGGGGTAATGCCGGAAGGGCGGGGAGGAAGCTAAGGAGGAGCTTCCTGTCCTTTGGGCAACCCAGAGAGGGAAAAGGGGGAGCAGCTTTTTCCTCTGGCCATTCTGCAGAATTAGAGCCATTTCTCTCGGGCTAGAGAGGAGCCCTAAGCTGGGCTTGGGAGGACCTCTTGACAGCCCTGGGAGTCCCTATCATGGATGGAGGGGCCTAGGGGTGCTGCAGGAGCCCCCCTGCTCAGAGACTAGGATTCGGGGAGAGTGAGGGAGCTTGGGCAGTTGGTTTTCAAAGGGGAGAGGTGGTAGGGGAAGTGGGGTTGGGTTGGGGTTGTAAACAGGCTCAGGCCACAGCATAGAGCCATGTTTCTGAGGGGAGCATGATAGGGGTGGCAGGACAGGGAAGCCTCACTTCTGACCTCTGCCTAGGGCAAGTTCTCCATCCCCTTGCTCAGGGCATGTTTCACAAAGAGGAGAGGGAAGGTGGGAGTTTGATCTTTCTGACCCTGATCTGTTCCTACAGGCAGTGTCTGTCTAGCTATGGCCTCAGTCTGCCACTGACAGCACGGAGTCAACAGTGCTCATCTGGGTTGTTTAGGGGAGAGTTAGGAGTGCTTGGATGTTTGTACACTGTGAGTTCTGTTTGTTGCTTGCTTGCAGTACTGGGGATTGAACCCAAAGAGCTCTACGACAGAGCTATATCCTCAGATTTTCATATTTTTTATTTTGAGACAAGGTCTTGCTAAACTGCCCAAGCTAGTCTTGAGCTTTCAAATTCCCTGCCTCAAGCTCCAGGGTAGCTGGGATTATAGGTGTGCACCCTGGCACCTGGCTGTGTCCTGGGAGTTCTACCCCTCCTGATCCACCTGAACCTGTGGTCTGAGGGAGCACTGCAGAATGGGAGGGACAGGAGAAACTGGACCAGGAGTGTGGCTGCGGGACACCTGGCTTCTGCCCAGCAGTGTGACTTTAAGGGATTTGCGCACCAGCCCTTCATATATAAAATGAGCTGATTAGCTTACATACTCAAATTCCACCTCCAAAGTGCCAATCTGTTTGATATGTAGTTAAACATTGTAAGAGAGGGGCTAGGGATTTAGCTCAGCGGCAAAGTGCCTGCCTGGCAAGCGCAAGGTCATGAGTTCGGTTCCCGGTACCGGAAAAACAAACAAACAAACAAACAAAAAAATTGTAAGAGAACATGGGAAAATAGATATGATACATCACTGACTAAAAAATCAGTTTATAGGGGTTAGGGGTGTAGCCTAGTGGTAGAGGGCTTGCTTAGTATGTGTGAGGCCCTGGGTTCCAGCCCCAGTACTCCCCCAATTAGATTATAGATCATTCAAATTATTCCACTTTTAGTGAAAAAATTCATATCTATAGATATGCATAGGAAAATGTCTGGGAGGAAATATACCAAAATATTAAGTGTGGATATGCTAACCAATGATTCTATAGGTGACTTTTAGTTTTGCTTATCTGCATTTTCTAATTTTCTACAGAGAGAGAAAGAGAGAGAGAGAAAGGGAGACAGTGTGTGTGTTATGCCATGGGCTTTGGAGTAAAAGAAACCTAGATACAGGTCTGAATAACACTGGTTACCACTGGGGTGATTGATCTTGGGCAAGTCACTTAACCTCCTTGACCCTTGACGAGGGTCAAGAACCTATGCCACATGATCAAATAACACGGTGAATGTTTCAATTTTTAAAAACTTAATTCCAGTAAAAGACACATTGCCATTAATCTCCCTCTAGATATTCCTTTGCCTTGAACACACTTCTCTCATCATTCTTGCCACTTTTTGCAGCAGTTCTGGATATCTGCTTTTGATAGTGTGTTTCACTGTACTGATTCAATATAAAAGGTTTCCCTTTCATGGTCATTTTGCCTTTGGGAAAGGGCTAGAAGTCACCTGGTGCCAAATCTGGTGAACAAAGGGGATGAGGACACACCGTAATGTATGAGCTTGCGTTTTTATTGGATGGCACTCAGCAGCAGTAGTCGCCATCTTTTTGATCATACCTTATAAAGACACCCATGAAAGAGAACTTCAAGAACTGCTTCAAAAAGTGGCAAGAGTGATGGGATGAGTGTGTTCATAGCAAGGGGAAGCAAACTACTTGCTGTGTGAGTGTCTCAAGGGGGTTTAATGGCAATGTGTCTTTTACTGTAATAATTCTTTTAAACACACAGTACCATATTTTTTGATCAGCTCTTGTATGACATAGATTCAGTAAGAGTATTACATGAGATAGTGAGTAGAAAGTGTTGAGGTGGTCTGACACACTATTCTCAATAAACAAAAACCATAGTTATAAATATTTGGTAATTTAAAAAAGCTAATAAACTGAATACAGATTATAATCATCAGAAGCACTCTACAGTCCTATCCACCGGACTAGGGAAATCAGTCCACAGGAAAAAACCAAGAGTGAGTACTATGGGAAGATAATCTCTCCAACAGCAAGTGCGTGTGACCTCATAAGGAGGTTTACAGTCCTGTAAGGGACATTTGAAGTCCAAAATGACAATGTCAGTTACAATTACGTCTCATTGGGAGGGTATACCTTGTCACAAAATTATCTCTAGTTTAAAAAGTGCATGTGCACGTAGGTAAACTAGCCGGTGCTCCAGTTTAAGGAACTTTTCTTCTTACCCCATTCTCAGAGGGAAGGATTAATCATCCCCCCACTTTACCAGGTGAAGAGGATTAAGGTGTTTTCCCAGACCTTGCCTCGTGCCCTGGCCTCTCACCTGGCATCTCAGGGGGCAGCGGCTCTGGTGGGTTTCTGCAGCCTGTGTCAGATTGTGCGGTGCCTGGAGCCACCTCCACCAAGCCCTGGTCCTCGCACCTGCAGAGGAAAGAGGACTGTGAGCCCCTCCGCCCCTGCCCGCCAGTGCCCTGTTTGAGGGGGCTGAGGTGGACATGACTTGGAGGGCCTGTGGGATCAACCATGGGAGGGGTGTGAGCAGCTGGGGTTTTGTGGCACAGTGGGGTGCTCTCACCTGGTGTGGGGCTGGCAGTGGGCACTGGAGGAGGAGGCATTCTGGAAGTACCCTGCCTTGCAGGGAATGCAGGTGTTGTCAGGCTCCTCATCTTCATCTGGCGAGAGAAAACAGGCCAGCCAGGATGAGTGGGCAAAAGGGAGCCCAGCTGTGAGCTTCCTTAATGCCCCCTGGATGGCCTCCTCACCAGCCACCACTCTTGCACACCCCTTCTGGGAGTCTTTTGCATAAATGAGAAGAGGCATCTGATGGCAAAGAGAACTACCCGAGGGTCATGCCATGGACACAGCACCACGCTCCCTGCCCTCTCTCAGGGTCGCCCACACCGGCCTCCTTTCAGGCTGCCCTCTGACCTTTAAGCTCAACTTCTGTGCCTGGGGGACACTCCGAAAGCAGCTCACAGTGCACGCACTCAGGGTCCCGGTGGGCACAGAACATTCCTTGCTGGCAGCGGCACTTCGTCTTGCGAGTGCTGGTGCAAGGTGCAACCTCCTGGAAGCCCAGCACTAGTGGGGAGACAGAGCTCAGAGCGGGGCCATGTTCCGGGTGGCCCCAGCCCAGCACCTCACTCACCAGGGTCACAGGGCCGGCACAGCTGGCAGATGGTGAGGTGGTTCCAGTGCTCATTGTAGGAGTTTTTGTCACATGTGGTACAAACCGTGTTCTGGCTGCGGTTGCATTTGGCTGTGACGAACGTGCCTACATGCAGAGGGACAGCAGGTGTCAGGAGGGCGAGATGCCGTCTCACCGCTGCTGCTTGCTGCATGACCTGAACTGTGCTCAAGGCCTTCGCCCCTTCCCTGCTCCCTAGCTTGCTGTCTTCCTGCCTCTCCAGGAGGCCCAGTGACCAGGGCGAACCTCAGTGCCTGAAGTGCCGTGGCCAGTGCTTCCTGCTCACTGTCTCTGCCAGTGAGTTTTCCTGGGGTGCAGGGTCTGCCTTCCCTCTGACCCACCTCGCATCCCCGGCTTCCGGGAGTCATCACCTCTCACCTGGGGGACACCGGGAGCAGCAGACCTGATGCTTGGGCTCGTAGTACTCTTTTTCCTGGTCCAAGCACACGTGGTTCTCAGAGTGGTATGGGGGCACCTTTGAGGGAAGAGGAGGTGAGGGAGAAGAACAAGTCAGGGGTCAGCTCGGGAGGGCACCAGGCTGCAGAGAGAGCTGCCAGGCGCCCTGTCCTCCTCCCTTGCCCTTGCCAGCCTCCCCACCCCTCACCATCTGGGGCTGAGTTGCAGCCAGGAGCCCACAGAGGCCCAGCAGGAGTGGCCCCCAGGCCAGGCCGGAGGGAGAGGCAGCCCAAGGCAGGCGCATGGCGGCCCTTTGGCCGGGGGCAAGCAGATGGGTGGAGGCCCGGGAGGAGAGTGGGAAGCCCGGGCAGCCCAAGCAGCGAAGGCAGCAGCTTCCCCAGCCCAGCTACTGGGCCGATGTGCCCCCCCAGGGCCGGAGCGGCCGGGCCTGGCCTCCAGGGCTCCAGCGCCAGGCTCAGGAAGTGGGAGTGGATCGAGCCGGCCGCGGGGCGGGGACAGGGAGGGCTGGGAGCGGAGGCCAGTCTGTCGCAATCGCATGGAGGAAGAGGAACAGGCTTGGCGGCCTCGCAGGGCGGGAGGGGGTGGCCGGGAAAGCACGTGAGGACAGCAGGCCCGGAACTGGCCGCCTCCTTGGGGGGAAGCTGAGCCAGAGAGGAGGGTTGCGGGGATAGGTCCATCTGGTGGGAAAGGGGCAGCAAGACTGAGGACACCCTCAGGCTGACCTCTGGGAGCCTGGCTCAGGCAAGGCCGGCTGGGAACTGATGCGTTTGGAGACAAAGCTGTGGACAGTGGGTGCCAGGTTGGAAAAATGGGAGGCACCAGGGATTAACTGTGTGCAGAGCAGAGACCCACAGCAAGCCGGCAGATGCAGCATCTGGGACCCACAAGTCCCACTGGGCAGATGCCAGCATGCCTGCCCTTCTCTGTGGCTTTTTAAGACAAGCTACCCAGGATAAGCAGCCAGACAGCTGGGCCTACACTTGGCTGACCCAGCGCAAGCCACACATGGGTGGGCATGCCACACAACACTCGAGAGTGCAGCTGGCCCTGTGCTGCTCTCCCCTGGGAGCCTCCCTCTCAAGAGCAGAGTGGGGAGGATGTTCTGGTGAGTTCCTGATGATTGGGGCCAGCTGTGTCGAGGCTGGGCGGCCTAGTCCCAGCTTCCTGTCCCATGAGCCTTTGGATGAGCCAGAGGAAGCTGAGTCCACCCAGTACAGCCCCCTCCCCTTCAGGAGAGCACTGAAGCTCAGATTGCCAGGCATAGCATGCCAGGTTGCTCAGCCTGGTGCCTCCCTTTCCTCCCATCATCTCCCTGAAGCCCATGAACAGCCCCATATAGCTACTTCCAGTTCCCCTTGCCTCCCCACCTGGCTGTCTGGTCTCCAAGCTGCAGTCCGCCTGCCAGTCCTGACCTGTTTTGGAGCGTTCACTCAACTAGCCCAGGTTGGTGTGTCGCAGGGAGCTCTGGTTGCAACCTGCTGCCTGTCACCTGCTTCCCAGCAGGCTGTGGGCTCCACAGTGGCCTGGACTGGATCTTGGATGCAGTCTTTGAGCTTGTCTTGGAGACTAGGAGAGACAGGCTCATGCCATGTGCCTGAAACATATTTATGGAATAAATGAACGATGCCCACATTCCTTAGCTGGTCCATGGCAAAACCAGCCAGGGCTCAGCTCATCCCAGCAACTAGACTGCTTCCTTGTGACTCAGGAGTATCTCTTTCGGGATAAGCCTGACTTCTTTCCTTGAGATGGGTTGCCTGGGCGCTGCCTGCCCTCCAGCCTCTGTTCAGGACTCATCCTTATGCTGGGTGGTCTGACGGCTGGACCACCATGTAGAAATGTGGTGTGGAAGTATGTCTTCTGGTGTAGAAGTGTGTCTGGGAGGAGAAGGAGCTGCTGCTCTTCCAGGTCTACAGCTCAGTGCATAAATGCATAAAGGAATAGTATATAGGTCCTTTTCTCTTTCTTCTTTTTAATTGTTACTGTTGGAATTTCATAACATAATAAAAGGAGAGAAAGTAATGTCAGGACCTGCTCCAAGTTGTGGGCAGCCTGCTTCCATCACATGACCCCTTCCTATGCACTTCAAATCCCCTTTGATTATTTTGAAGCAAATTCCAGACATCATATCACTTCATTTGAAAATGTTTCAGGGTTTGCTCTAAAGGACATATTCATTTTTTAAAAAAAAATTGGGGTAAAACGTGTATACAACAGTGTGCAAAATACATGAATCTCATACATACAGATTGCTAAAGTTTCACTTTCATCCTTTATCTATTTATTTGGTACTGGGGATTGAATCCATAGCCTTCACGCTGAACTTTTTCAACTTTATTTAAATTTTGAGATTAAGTTGCTTCGTTGTCCAGGTTGGGCTCAAACTTGTGAGCCTTGCTCCTGCTTCACTTTTGTGTGTTCTTGTGTAACCTTCCAGAACATTCTGACTCTGTGAAAGGTTGCCATGTGCCCTTCCCAGTCACAGGTAAGCACCATCTCAACTCCTTGATGGCCCTGCAGGCTAAACTGATCCTTTCTGCTGCTAGTCCCTGCTTTCACTTCATCTCCCAAGGACTCTCTAGGCCCTAGGCAAGGAGCCTGTTACTCTCGGTTTTGATCCTGGCACTGTCATTTTAACTCTGGTCCTCTTTTCTTGTGTGGCACATGGCCTGTTTGCTTACAGATCTGTGCTCCACCCTTTCCCTGCTCTGTGATGTGACTCTCCTGGGAACTACATTTCCCAGGCTCCTTTCCCTTGGGTTTGTGTGTGAGATCAGCCAGTAGGAGGCGCTAGTAGATGACCAGTGGGTGGGGAAGGGAAGAAGTTGGCTTCTCTCTCAACCTGCTCTGTGGCATCACCTGAAGTTGGTTGTGTTTCTTCCTACACTCCTTCTACAGTCCCATCTCTTACTGGGTAACTGCCATGGCTTAGTTCCTATTTAACACCTCTACAGGCTTCTTGGTCTACAATGCTGGATTACCCTGCTGTCTTTCCAGTCTTGGCGATGGCAGCTGCTTCTTGCTTTGCTATGTTCTGAGTTGCCTCTGTGTCTCCTCTTGCTTTCTCAGCTCTTCTGTCACCCACATAACAATTCCCTCTACTTCCGTCCCTCCTCTCTCCCTCCTTTCCATCCTTCTTCTCTCTCTCTCTTTCCCCCTCTCTCCTTCGTCACCTCTCCTGTCCTATTCTCTCTTCCTCTCCCCTCCCCTTCTTTCTCTCTCTCCACCTGTCTCTGTGTGTCTGTCTCTATCTCTCTTTCTCTCTCTCTCCCCTCGGCACTGAACCCAGACCCTGCCAGTGCTAGGCACTCTACCACTGACCCGCACACCCAGCCCCTCTGTTAAATCTCTTCCATTTGGAAGACCTGGAGTATTTCTTGTTTCCCACCTGGACCTTGACAGAAAAATCTCACCAGGTAGTGGTTATCACAGTGCCTTCCCCTTGAGGGATGGAGCCCCACGGGGGTGAGAATGCAGAAACTCCTTGTGAGCAGACATGGTGTTTCTCCTTTTCTCTGCTAGCTTCCATGAAGATATCCTGACATCCAAAGTGCACAACGGGTCTGGCTGTTCAACGGGTCGGGGCTTGCTCCTCTCCCAGGCCTCCTTTGGAGGGGTCACTGAGAGGTCCTTCTTCCCGCAGGCTCTCAGAGAATCTGAAAAGGGGACTGGGGTGAATGGATCCCTTTTAAATATTTTTCCTTTCTCTTCTCTTTCAACACTGCTCTTAGCAATCAGGCCCCTTGGGAAGGATCTGGGAAACCCTGAGAAACGAATGTGACCGATGAGGTTGACCTGCAGAGCCTTCTTATTTTTGGTGCAGACAGTGCCTTGACCAGTTCTCCACTGGGTGACTTGTCCCCCAGAAGTCACTTGGCAATATCTTGAGACACTTTTGGCTCCCACTACTAGGTAGGCACTGAGAAAGAGAATAGTGGTGGCAGGTACAGCAAGATAGGCTGATTTGGGGCTGGGGATTTAGCTCAGCGGCAAAAGCGCCTGCCTGGCAAGCGCAAGGTCGTGAGTTCGGTTCCTGGTACCGGAGAAAAACCAGCCTTGTATTTTTTTTATTTTAGAAATAAAAGGAGGAAAACATTAATACACAGACAACCTTTCACAAAATAGCAAGAGAACAAG